AACGGGATTTGTTTGCAATGCGTTAAGATTTACGTGTTAGTTTTCTTAATAAAGAAATGCACTGATGTAGGGCGCGATTGGTTCGGGTAAGGAAAGATAGATTCGTGATCTTTTGTATGTTAGGAAATTATTGGTTTGAAAGGAAAGAGTGGAGAGAAAAAAACCAGTATGAGGGGGTGGTGGGAGGTGGGACGAATAAAAACCGGACGAAATTGGGAGGTGGGAGGGGGCGAGTAAAAACCGACAAAAAAAGCCAACGAAATTGGGAGGTGGGAGAGAGGATGAAAAAAACCAGGGGAGGTGGGAGGAGGACAAAAATAAACCGTACGAGGCTACCAACTGCTCCATTAGGAGTAGAGATTGTTTGTGAAAATAACATGCGACGACGACTTAGCGAGCGGATCCCCTTAAAAAAGACATAGCGAGCAGATTCCCTTAAAACTGGTAGAAATAGATACGATTGATGACATTGATAAATAGTGGTGAATGTTGGCATAATTTACTATCATCATGCATGGAAATGAATCATCAAGAAAAAGAATACTTCCTATTACTACACTCATAGGAAGCTTCCTAATCTCTGCTACCAAACAGTTTCTGCCCAAACAAGGAAGGAAAGTTATGGACGTGATTCGAAAGGAAACAAACGTTATGAAGATTAATTAATTTAGATTTGATCTTTAGAGATTGATTGTGATTGATTCTTTTACATAAAGACATTACTAAATAATCTGCGCTAGTATGGAAAGTTCTGATCCGTTCAGTTTTTTTCGTTGTGTGAGAGGGTGAAGTGAAAATAAACCGATGAAGTGGGGGAGGCGACGAAAAAAATCTACGACAGTTAACCTACGAAAAAAAACCGGATGAAAGTGGTGGGACGAAAATTGACCGGCGAAGACTACCAACTGCTCCATTAGGAGTAGAGATTGGTTGGTTCGATTTTTTTGCGTGGAGGGAACTACCTGGGAGGTGGGAGGGAGTACGAAAATAAACCGTCTCGGCTGAGCGGGAGGTGGGAGCAAGTACCAAAGAAGTATCAAAAAAGACCGGGTGAGGTGGGACGAAAATAAAACCCGGAACGCGACCTACCAACTGAGACATTAGGAGTAGAGATATTAACAAAAGTGCAGATCCCGTCCCACTCTTCACTTTTTGACAAAAAACTTCCGAATAGCAATCTTGGTGAGTGATCTCGACCGGGTTCGATCGGCATGGCATGTCGTTCCTCCAGGAGTGGGTGCTAAGAGGAAGGATGGCAAACCTCCATTGTCAATCGGCCGGAGCTGCATCGTCATTTGGATCAGAGCATGAACGAAATCGAGATGGTAGAGGTTGAGGAATTTGTAGGACGTGAGGGTTTAGGGTGGGCATCACAAGAACTCACCCATATCTTGGGAGACGGCAGACCCGAGGTGCAGTCGTGTTCGTGCTTCAGGGGCTGCCACGTGCTGTCCTCGCCGCCATCGCCTGTCGATGCCACTTCAGCGCCACGAGCATGGGACTGAGGGACGAAGGGAAGAGAAGGGAAGGAAGCGAGCTAATGACGTACCTATGTTTGGTATGTAATACCCTCCATTAAGAGTAGATATTTTTTTAAAATCGGTTATTTTATTTCCTAATTAATGTGATTGAGCAATTTAAGGTAAGGTTAATTAATTTAGATTTGATATTTAGAGATTGATCGTGATTGATTATTTCACATAAAGACATTACTAAAAATAACTTGCACCAACATGAAAAGTTATGATCCGTTAAGATTTTTTTAAGATTTTGCATGCCGGTCCCTGAGTTCCTTACAGATAAGCCCCTGCAGCTTTACTTTCGCGCCCTCCTTTGTTTTTGGAGCTTATAACTAGGTCCAAACTGGGTTATTACTTGTCTTTTGTGCGTACATTGTCCTCCGAATAGTCATGCACCAGGTCATATTTTTCTTACATGTAGCCCCCCATCCTCTGGAGCTTCACTAACTGGTCCTCCACTTATTTTTTACGATACAAATATATGTGTAGTGTGCCGTGCTGTTTTCTTATTTGTACGATTTATTTGTGAGTAGTTGTTTAGTTATTCCCGGGCCCTTCTGTATTGCTGTTTTTTGTGATTATACTGAAGGTGGGTGCAGCGAGATCCGTTGAAAGCATAGACGTGGTGACTTTTAATTTTGTTACAAAAATGCCCCTGCTTTATTGCAATCACTGATTGTTTTACTACAAAGTCATGTTGGAGCTTCGCGAACTACGTTCTCCACTTCATTTAGGACACGAGTATATGTGCATTCTGGAAATCCAACTCGGTGCCCAGACTCATCTGCTCCCGCTCAGAAAAAAAAATCAAAATAAATACTAGAAAAAATCAAAAAGATCCAATTTTTTTTGGGGTGGTAGATAATTTGATGCATGAGGTCCGCTCTAAATTTCAACTCATTTGGACATTTTGGAAGCTCTCGGCAAAAAAGACAAATTTGGACAGTAAACATTTTTACAGACCCCGATTTTGTCATTTTTGCCGAGAGCTGCTCAAATGTCTAAATGAGTTGAAATTTGGTGCGAATCTCACGCATCAAATTATCTACCACCCAAAAAAATTGGAATTTTTTGAATTTTTTTAGCATTTGTTTTGATTTTTTTCCGAGAGGGGGTGCAGATGAGCCTAGGAGCAGAAACTCCGCGTCCATGTGCATTCATGTTATGTCGTCTCCTCCATACAATTTATTGTTAGTAAGTACTTCCTCTGTAAAGAAATATAAGAATGTACACTCTCATATTTATTGTGAAGGGAGTAATTATTTATTCATTTATGGTTCTTTTTGCGTTGTTGTTATTGTAATTTTAGTGGAGGTGACCGTGGCGTGAGATCCATCGAAAGCATATACATGGTTTAAGAGCATATATTTTCACATTTAGACAGTTGTCACCAGCTCCAGCTTGCTGGTTTGGCACAACAATCTCTTACACAAATGATGATGCTCTATTATGTGGAGACGAGACTTCACACACGTCGCTCAAAGTGAGCCGGCCTTTCCTCTGTCACCTAATACGTGACACATCTACACATTGGCACGTGGCTCTGGACACCCCAGGCGAATAACACGAATAACCAAGTTGTAGGCAGGCCAAGATGAAAAGAAATGGCCTTCCATCGATGATGCATGGGACTCACATCTCAAAACCAAGAGTTCTCTAATTCAAGAGAGCTTAGGAGTTGAAGAGCTATGAAAAAATTGTGATAACATATTTGTAACTGTTGGTAGCCCTTCAATAATAAAATTATACTAGGTAACAGTAACCGGTTAAACAACATTGTACTCCCTCTGTCCCATTTTGAGACAGAGGGAGTATATTCATACCAGCTATTGATTATGAAGAAAGTGAAGACAAACAATACATTGCAAAAAATGGAATGGAAAATAAATCATTTTAAAATTATGTTCTAACAGAGTGAGGTCAGCATTTTTTTGTGAATCACGTGCCTTATTGAGTTAAACAACAACAATGCAATCGTTTTGTAGACATTTTGTTCGTAACAAACAACTGAATTAAGCCAGAGACATATTCTCCTATTGCGGCTAGCTGCCTTCGCATAGGTGGACCTCCTCATTAGCTTCCCGCCCAACATGATCAAACGAAATGTCTGTGAAATTCCTGGTTAGATCCTTGATGTCGTGAACGTGAAGGATGCCTGAAAATGTTCTGAACGCTCATATTTCGCCAGGTTAATGATTGTTTCGTAACTAAGGCACACGCGCGAGTTAGAAATTCGGAAAATAGTTCAAACGTGTAACTATGTGCATGTCACCGGTAGAATTATTTTTAGTATGAACGTAAATAAAGTAGTTTGCTACATTGAAATTATACCATAGTGGTCAGTATTCTTGTCCGTCACGCAGGTGATTCCCGACCGCAATTAGGAAAATAGTTTAAACGTATAAATGCTGTTTCATTTGTTTTTCATCTCTTGACCGTAAAATTTTCCAATGTCTGACAATGGTATTTTTTTTTATGTCCTTTTTTTCCTCCAAAGAATGTGCTCACCTAAAAAAATATTTCACTAGATTTGCTGCGAGATGGATAGAGGAACTTGTCCTTTCCCTTGAACCCCATGCCCTGAGCACTCCACATTCATCTTTAATTTCTTTTATTTTATTTATTTTGCGGGTGATCTCTATTGTCTTTGATGTCTCGTGATAAATCATGTCTCGTAGACAGAGCAACTCTTTGATAGCTCCACAAGCATACAACGTTTTATGTGGTTCTACGCAGAGCAGACATCCCTGCTTAACTCTTCGCCTCTAAGAGATTTCACTGAATATTTTAATCAAACTCTTAATAAAGTATACTTAAGAGCACGAGTTTGCAAATTCTATCAATCAAGTCGTTGTAGTATAGTGGTAAGTATTCCCGCCTGTCACGCGGGTGACCCGGGTTCGATCCCCGGCAACGGCGATTTTTGTTTCTTTTATGTAGTTCTGGACATTGATATCTTGCTTCAGCAAAGAAACAAGTTACTGAACCTCATCCTCCTCTGCACTAGACGCACGCACTGCATTCTTCCCAGAGCAGATCCAGCTTTGCTCAATCATGCAAACTTGGTTGGTTGCCCCTTTTCGTCAGCATCCTTCTGTCCCAATGGCAGATTCAATTTCGCTCAATCAGTCATGCCAAGAATCAATCGTCTCGCAGCCGTCTGTCAGGCAATGTGGTGATTGATTGTGACTAACCTTGCAGAATTGGTTTTCATAAGACTATAATCTTTGGGTTCAGAAAGGAAAAGACGGCACGTTTTTTTATGTTTTGTCAAAAATTTGCTTTTTTTTTTGAAGTAAAAGGTGGCGCGCAGCCGACCTTATATTTCAAAGAAGGCAAAAGCCTGCATATGACAGTTACAAAACTTGTGAAGTGCACCCAGGTGCAGGGCCACAAGCAGCCCAAGGTAGAAGGTAGGGGAAGTGGGAAGGAGGAAAAGAGAGAGGAAGAAGAAGGAACAAGGCCGATACAAAAAAAAACCTAATTGCTGAGAATGGTAATCCACGGAGCCAGATCATCCTTGTCTGGCTGCTTGGTAGCCCGGTTGCTCCACAGACTAAGCAAATTAGTTGCATGAAACCTGATATACGACTCCGGCCAGCATTTATCATTGAAAACCCGATCATTCCTGGCTTGCCAAAGCGTGACAGCACATGCAGCAAAAGCGACATGCCACTTGGCTGTGGACTGGAGGTGATCCTTGGCCTGACAAACAAACTGTTGAATATTGGGTGACGCACAAGCCAACGTTGCCAGTGACAGTCTGCTCCACATTGCATCGGCGGGACGGCAGCGAAGGATCAGATGGTCAGCTGTCTCCTCCGCCGGGCAAGCATCGCAGCCAGCAGATGGAGCCACTGCCGACCAACCTTTGCGCACCATGTTAGCCTTGGTGTTCAGACGCCCCCAAAAAGCCAACCACAAGAAGATTCTACTTTTTAGGGGGATAATATGGTCCCATATCGAGGAAGCAGGAGCCCAAAGAACTCCCCGGAAGGTGAGCAACTTGTAGAAGTAGCTGGTGCATAAACTGTTTCCTCCAAGCGTGGGTACCCGTGCATCCGAGCTTGAGAGATCCAGGTTGACATGATCCATGAGCTGATGAAGCAGATGCAAGTCCTAGGTTGCAGCCTATGTGAGGTTTGGGTGCAGCTGTACATTCCAGGCACCTCCTGTAAACTGAGATTGCACAAGACAATTTGGATTGCGAGCAAAGGAGAAAAGGACCAGAAAAGCATGCTTCAAACTGCTAGGCAACAGCCATCGATCATGCCAGAAGGAGGCGTGCGCGCCGCTGCCAACAGAGCAGCGCGAGGAGGAGACAACCAGAGGGATGTAGCTCTTGAGGCCCTTCTGAGGGAGTCCTGGATTAGGGGGTATCCGGACAGCCGAACTATATACATCGTCCGGACTACTGAAGCATGAAGATACAAGACTCAAGACTTCAACCCGTGTCCGGATGGGACTCTCCTTTGCGTGGAAGACAAGCTCGGCGATCCGGATATTATATTTCCTTCCTTGTAACCGACTCCATGTAAACCCTAGCCCTCTCCGGTGTCTACATAAACCGGAGAGGATGGTCCTTAGAAGGCCGATCACAATTACAATCATACCATCATAGGCTAGCTCTTAGGGTTTAGCCTCTACGATCTCGTGGTAGATCTACTCTTTACTACTCATATCTTCAATATTAATCAAGCAGGAAGTAGGGTTTTACCTCCATCGAGAGGGCCCGAACCTGGGTAAACATTGTGTCCCTTGCTTCCTGTTACCATCAGCCTAAGACGCACAGATCGGGACCCCCTACCCAAGATCCGCCGGTTTTGACACCGACATTGGTGCTTTCATTGAGAGTTCCTCTGTGTCGTCGCTTCAAGGCTTGATGGCGTCTTCAATCGCCAACAACACGGTCCAGGGCGAGACTTTTCTTCCCGGACAGATCTTTGTGTTCGGAGGATTCGCACTGCGGGCCAATTCGCTTGGTCATCTGGAGCAGATCGACAGCTACGCCCCTGGCCACTAGATCAGGTTCGGAAACTTGAACTACACGACGGACATTCGCGGAGACTTGATCTTCGACGGATTCGGGCTTGTGCCAGGAGCGCCGGACAGTCACGACGAGCACGGCTTAGACCTGCTGTCGGACAGTGTTGAGGAAATCATCCCTGCAGCAGCCCCGGATCTAAAGCCAGAGCAGGTTGCGTTGCCCAAGGACGGAGGGGTGGACCCTGATGTCTACTACACAACCTTCTTCTTGTAGACGTTGTTGGTCCTGCAAGTGCACAGGTTTGTAGGACAGTAGCAAATTTCCCTCAAGTGGATGACCTAAGGTTTATCAATCCGTAGGAGGCGTAGTATGAAGATGGTCTCTCAAGCAACCCTGCAACCAAATAACAAAGAGTCTCTTGTGTCCCCAACACACCCAATAAAATGGTAGATTGTATAGGTGCACTAGTTCGGCGAAGAGATGTTGATACAAGTGCAAAATAGATAGTAGATAAAGGTTTTTGTAATCTGAAATTATAAAAACAGCAAGGTAGCAAGCGATAAAAGTGAGCGTAAACGGTATTGCAATGATAGGAAACAAGGCCTAGGGTTCATAATTTCACTAGTGCAAGTTCTCTCAACAATAATAACATAGATAGATCATATAACAATCCTTCAATATGCAACAAAGAGTCATTCCAAAGACACTAATAGAAGAGAACGAATAAAGAGATTATGGTACGGTACGAAACCACCTCAAGGTTATTCTTTCGGATCGATCTATAAAAGAGTTTGTACTAGAATAACACCTTAAGACACAAATCAACCAAAACCCTAATGTCACCTAGATACTCCATTGTCACCTCAAGTATCCGTGGGCATGATTATACGATATGCTTCACACAATCTCAGATTCATCTATTCAACCAACACAAAAGTACTTCAAAGAGTGCCCCAAAGTTTATACCTGAGAGTCAAGAACGTGTGCCAACCCCTATGCATAGGTTCATGGGTGGAACCCGCAAGTTGGTCACCAAAACATACATCAAGAGGCACATGATATCCCATTGTCACCACAGATAAGCACGGCAAGACATACATCAAGTGTTCTCATAAAAGACTCAATCCGATAAGATTACTTCAAAGGGGAAAACTCAATTCATCACAAGAGAGTAGAGGGGGAGAAACATCATAAGATCCAACTACAATAGCAAAGCTCGGGATACATCAAGATCGTGCCATAGAGGGAACACGAGAGAGAATACGAGAGAGAGAGAGATCAAACACATAGCTACTGGTACATACCCTCAGCCCCGAGGGTGAACTACTCCCTCCTTGTCATGGAGAGCGCCGGGATGATGAAGATGGCCACCGGTGAAGGATCCCCCTCTCCGGCAAGGTGCCGGGAAGGGCTCCCGAGAGGTTTTTGGTGGCTACAGAGGCTTGCGACGGCGGAACTCCCGATCTATCTTTTCCGTGGATGTTTTTAGGGTATGTGGGACTATATAGGCGAAAGAAGTCGGTCGGGGGTGCTCGAGGGGCCCACGATACAGGGGGGGGCGCCCTATAGGGGGGGGCCCTCCTATCTCGTGGAGTCCTCGAGTATCTTCTGACTTTAACTCCACGTCTCCAGGATGATATTCTTCCAAAAAATCACGTTGCCGGAGGTTTCATTCCGTTTGGACTCCGTTTGATATTCCTTTTCTTTGAAATACTGAAACAGGCAATAAAACAGCAATATGGGCTGGGCCTCCGGTTAATAAGTTAGTCCAAAAAGTAATCTAAAAGTGTATAATAAAGCCGATAATCATTCAAAACAGATAATAATATAGCATGAATGCTTCATAAATTATAGATACGTTGGAGACGTATCAGACCCCGCCCCGCAGGCCGCCCGCTCATCAACGGTGGAGCCGAACACATGTCGCATCTCTGTGGAGGCCTGTATCCCCGGGCCCCCGGACTCGTATCCGGTCGTTGGTCCCGGTCCACACACTCTCGAGCAAGCCGAGCCAGGTTGGGCTCCGGTAATGGAGTTTACCGCCACGGACATCTTTCAGCACTCGCCCTTTGGCGACATGCTGAACTCATTAAAGACTCTCTCTTTGTCAGGAGTCTCTGGGCCGAACTATGTCCAGCTGGAGTGGGAAGCAGGCGACGAAGAAATTCGCTGCCCACCCACCACCCACTTCATTGCCACGATCAATGATTTAACCGACGTGCTTGACTTCGACTTCGAAGACATCGACGGTATGGGCGACGATGCAGGAGACGTACATGAGCCACCGCTCACAGGGCGGTGGACAACCACCTCTTCATAAGATATATATATGGTGGACACTCCGAAAGAAACTAACGGCGATGAGGCAACGGAGGATAACCCCTCCAAGAAAAAAGCAAAGCATGGCCGTCGCCAGCGCCGCTCCAAGCCCCGCCAAGGCAATACCGGTACCAGAGACGAAAACAATCCGGACGGTGCCGACGATGAATACAACCCCGAACAGCCCGCCTTAGAGCAGGCCGAGCAGGAAGATGGGCAGGACAGCCCAGATGAACAAGCGACGGATCGGTATCCGGAGGAGGACAACTACATGCCTTCCTCTGAAGACGAGATTAGCCTCGGCGACGACGAGTTCGGCGTGCCCGAGGACCCCGCGAAGCAGGAGCGCTTCAAGCGCCGGCTTATTGCGACTGTGAGAAGCCTGAAGAAGAAGCAGCAGCAGCTTCAAGCTGATCAAGACCTGCTCATAGATAGATGGACATAAGTCCTGGCAGCCGAGGAATATGGACTCGAGCGCCACACGACTGACCGGCCGCCTCGAGGTCGGGATAAAATGGCACATTAGCCCGAATACCAGCCCGCACCCTCGCACCAGTTTACTATGGCCCGGGGCAATACTCAGGACCTGCGCGATAAACTGGATAACACCGCAGGACAACCAAGATCAATCTACGGATCACGGGGGCGCGTCGCAACACATGACGATGACCGTCATATCGGATACACTAACAGAAAATCCGGCCGGGCCGAATATAACTATTCAGATGCAACCGGACTGCGTCGCGACATAGCCCGGCACAGAGGCGCCGCACACCCCCTTTGCTTCACCGATGAAGTGATGGATCATGAATTCCCAGAAGGGTTCAAACCCGTAAACATTGAATCATACGATGGCACAAGAGACCCCGTGGTATGGATTGAAGATTTCCTTCTCCACATTCACATGGCCCGCGGAGACGATCTACATGGCATCAAGTATCTTCCCCTTAAGCTCAAAGGACCCGCCCGGCACTGGCTAAACAGCCTGCCCGCAAATTCAATTAGCAGTTGGGAAAACCTAGAAGACGCATTTCTTGACAACTTCCAAGGCACATATATGCGACCTCCGGATGCCGATGACTTGAGCCACATTACTCAACAGCCCGGAGAATCAGCCAGGAAATTCTGGACTCGGTTCCTGACTAAAAAGAACCAAATAGTCAACTGTCTGGACGCCGAAGCCCTAGTGGCCTTCAAGCATAATATCCGTGACGAGTGGCTCGCCCGACACCTCGGCCAGGAGAAACCCAAGTCTATGGCAGCTCTCACGACACTAATGACCCAATTTTGCGCGGGCGAGGACAGTTGGTTGGCTCGCAGCAGCACTACGCCACATTTGGCACGTCAAATGTCCGTGACAATAACGGCAAGCTACGGCGCAACAGACACAAGCGACGGAACAACGGCGACAACACCGAAGACACGGCGGTCAATGCCGGATTCGGCGGATCTAAATCCAGTCAGCGAAAGAAGCCATTCAAAAGAAACAATCAGGGACCGTCCAGTCTAGATCGTATACTGGAGCGCTCGTGCCAAATTCATGGCATCTCGGACAAGCCTGCCAACCACACCAATAGAGACTGCTTGGTATTTAAACAGGCTGGCAAAATAAACACCGAAAACAAGGACAAGGGGCTGCGCAGCGACGATGACGAGGAGCACCGGCGTCCGAACATGGGGGGACAGAAGAAATCCCCCCCCCTAGGTGAAAACGGTCAACATGATCTATGCCACCCACATCCCCAAGCGGGAACGGAAACAAGCACTACGGGACGTCTATGCGATGGAG